ATATTAAAATTATAAAAAAGATATATTAAGATATATAAGATATATAATTATGAAAAGAATTCGCCATAGCTTAAAAATTAAATGATGACAGAAAACAAAACCTTAAATAAAGAAGAAAATCCATATCAATTAACATGAAACGAATTGGAATAAAAATATACAGAATCTCCCATCATCTTTTCAGTTGAAATCGAGTGCACGATAATGGATGATTATGTACATTTTGATTTTCAAACATTTCATGGTAATGGGCTTCAATTTATGTACTTTTAAGATATTGGTTTATGCCACCACTATTTGTACCATATTGACGTTTCTTTGTTTTTTTCATTTTTTATTACGACATTGCAATACGTATGATGTGTATGCATAATGAAATTTATTTCTGTTACAATTATAGTTACATTTTTAAACAACAATTATACTAAATTAGACACCAAAATTCTGATTTGAAAACATGCATTTGTAAAAAAATCACATACGCATATTGTGACCATTTAAATGCTAAAATATTCTTTTTTAAGGGAAATTAGTTCTAAAGAGGCTCACAAAATTAGTCGAAATGGTAGATTAACACAACTAATAAAGGCTTTGAAAGGTGATAAAATATCATGTTCCGAAAGACCGTTACCTACAAAATATATTAATTCTGGTTTAGTGGCTCAATCATCCAAACCCTAACAAATATTCCATTAATGATCATTAAACATAAATCTGCAATAACCATTCCATACTCTAATAAGTTATTCTCTTGCATGAATTTGTCGTTTCGCGCCGGTCTATTTTGAAATATTCTTCTGCTCCACTCTGGGCAGAGATCTAGGTCAACTTCACGCCAACGGCCCGTAGAGCCGGCAACACCGCTTGTCCTCCGAAGCATTTATCGGAGCTGTCAACTGTCACCCGGGGTGAATTTACGCCTTGTCGTGTAAAGAACGTAATTTCGTAAACTCATTCCAGTGTTGCTGTTTAAATCGCATTCTATGCAATAAATGTCATTTATAGAATTTCGTTAGGTACAGTTTTTAATGGATGTTTTTATGAATGGAAAGAGCAAACAGTTTCCTTAAAGCATTCAGTAGAATGCTGTACATGGAAGTTGTTTGTAAAAAATACATTTGTTTGAGACCCAAAACGGAATAAAGTATTTATAACTGCAAGAACTTAAATACAGATGATTTATTCATTACGCTTTTATTAAGACAAGGATTAGTCAACTGAAATGTAGTTGAAATCTTGCAATACACTGCCCACGTATGCAATGTTCTAACGGAAATGTTGAATCATTAAGTTTTTTTCAATACATGAATTTAAGCCTAATTAATTGAAAATATGATGAGACGTTTGAAAAAGTTATTTCAAAATGCTTTTCATCCGTATAATGTATTAAAGTTTTAAACATTGAATAGATCAAGTGGTCCACTTTCAGCATTCATTGCGATTTACTAATTTTAATAATGTTATTAACGTTGTTAGTTATATTGTCGAAACGAACATTATTGTTAATTTAATTTTTTTTACTTTATTGAAAAACTAGAAACTAAAACAATCTAGTAATTTTTACTATGAACGAGGAGAAACTTATTTATCTTTTATTACTAGAAAATGTAATAGAAGATATATAAAACCGGGGATAAATTATAGCCAGAAGTTATTTCATAGGCATTTTGTCATGCAAAAAAATCAACAATATTTAGTCCAATTATTTTGAAACCCAAAACGCACTCGTGAACAATAAAGACCAACAATCCCTTAAATAAACCTCTTTCACAAACATCTTCAATGATCGCTTGCCAAACCTTGTTTGAAGGGCGGCAACTGAAGAGGGCTGAAGTGTGCACTGTAAGGGTACTTCAATAGTTCAACATCGCAGGCAGACCACATCCGCCGTCTCCGCCTCTTGTCCTTTAAAGACGGCTATAAGACCTTGAGTACACAGAGGCGGAAAAATATTTTAATCCTAGATTAAAAAGACGTCGTCTGCCACACGACGCAATTAGTAACGAAAGTTTCCCCCATCGCCTTTCTGTCACTCCCCGTTTCTCAATCCTTGTGTACCTTCGTTGTGTGACTAGCCAGTGGAATACTCGTAACCTTGTACACGTGCATATTTCCGGGCTACGCCATTTTAACAAGCGTGCAGTAGACTAAGCTTTTGTAGTTTACATCAGAGATGTTTTTGGTGCTTTATTGGCTAATATTGCAAATAATGAATACAAAACCCCATTCTTGGAGCATTTAAGTCTCGTTCTGAACATTTAACGATCATAATGGGACGATGACGATCATTATAAAAGTCGCTTGACGACGTACTTCTGCAGACGCTTCTCAAAAGCCGCGATTAGGCAGCACCAAGCACATGTCGGCTGTGAGAATAAAGTCATGTTGGTGTATATATAAAACACTTTAAAAAGTATTTTTTAACTACTATTCACACACGTTTTATACACGGTTATCATACACGATTATCAAGCTGTTTATAAATTAAAATATCGTCGAATAAATTAGTAATAATAGAATTCCCCTGTTTATATTATCAGTATTATCGGAAGTTGCTTGTTATTGAATATGTTTGAGATGAAGCTGAGTGCTGCACACATAAATTTGAAATAGGTAAACCCTATCAACAACATGAAATGAATGAAAACCTCACATATTTGATACGTGTTTCAATTAAATAATTAAGACGCTCAAATTAAAAACGGCAGATCCTAACCGACCTCGCATTTTCAGTTAGAAGTACGACGGTAAACTCTACCGTATACATATTATATGCTGAAATATCAAATGAATGGAGACATTGCAAAACCCTCAAATTTACCTTCAAAATGTGTCAGTGTTGAATGTGTACGTGGACGAAAACGGAAAAAGTCAAACTTCGGTTGGGATCTTCTGTTATTATTCTGAGCACCTCAACTAATACAGTGCACTAGGTTGACATAAATTGTTTTTATTAAGTTTCAAAATGTATGTAGCCTGAAGCGGCCTTTGTCCTTTGGTCGTAGGGAAGTGGGGGTGGACAGTGGCGCCGGGTGAGGCTGATCGGGGCGAGCGCCGGACGTCGCCCCAGCCCCAGCCCCGCCCCTGCCCTGCCCTGCCC